TGTTTTCTCAGAAGCATTAGCAAGGAGATGGATCATCTGGGGCTCGAACCAGCACCTTGATGGGATGCTGGCACTGTAGGCAGAGATTGAGTGTGCTGCACCATGGCACTGTTTAGTCATGGCTGCTCCACTTCAGGTGGAGTTCCTTGCTAACCAATGTGGCCATTCCATTCACCCAGGAGTTGGACTTCTCTAGCTGAGTGAGCTGCCGCAGGCCGGACAAGTACAAGCCAGGCTGCTGCCTGCCCTGGCCCGTAGCAGCAGTCCTGAAGATGGGGCTTTTGACGCAGTTCCAACCCCAGGCTGGTCCACAGTGACTGTCAGGCTGCTGGGCTGAAGGCCGCCATGGAGTTGGGCAGAGGGCAGTGGGACTTAGGATGAGCTAAAAGGCCGCGGAGATGGAGCTATTTTCTTGAATCAGCATGTCACACACAGTTTGTTGTAAGCTTTTTATTTTTCAGAATTGGGGGGGGGGGGGAATGGATCTTTTGCTTTAATGGGAGGTGAAGGTTTTGGGAGGTCCTTACACTGATCCTGTGGCTGCACATCAAATGATTTTAGAGCAAGCTCCATGGAGTCAGGACTGGTGTGCCCTGGCTATCAGCGTGTCTTATGTGAAAACAAGCAGCAGATCAGGCTGGTTGCAGTCATGTGCAGGAAACTGGAGTTACAGAATTGAGAGCTGGTGGGTTAGACCTGCAGCTGATCACAGAGGAGACCTCAGAACTGCGCGTTGTCTGACTACCACAGCCCCGGGAGGAGCTGATGGTGTGCAGGCACTGTCAGCTTGAACACCAGCTGGTGCCTGTGTGATTGTAAGGTTGCAGGTGACTAATGGCTGGCTCTTGTCTCCCCAGATGACTTCCCAAAGCCACAGATCATCACCCAACCAGAGACCACCATGGCCGTGGTGGGCAAAGACATCCGGTTCACGTGCTCGGCTGCCAGCAGCAGCAGCTCGCCGATGACCTTTGCGTGGAAGAAGGACAATGAGGTTTTGGCCAACGCGGACATGGAGAACTTTGCCCACGTGCGCGCACAGGACGGGGAAGTGATGGAGTACACCACCATCCTGCACCTCCGCCATGTCACTTTCGGGCACGAGGGCCGCTACCAGTGTGTCATTACCAACCACTTCGGCTCCACCTACTCGCACAAGGCCAGGCTCACCGTCAATGGTATGGCTGTCCAGTGCAGAATTCCTTTAAAGCGTGTTCCTTTTCCTGTGCTGGGAAGGTTGTGGAAAGCAGGGACATTGTGACAGCCAGCTTCTGGGCTGTGTTTGGGTAGGAGGAGGGAAGAGCATGTCATTGTTGGCCTGCTGGGCCCCTTTGTCTGTTGGGGTGTCCTGGGTGGCTCTCCATGGGGGACATCATTGCTAGCATGTGTGGAGTGCCTGCCATGGCAGCCTGGCCAGCAGCCATGGACATGCTGGTGTCCAGGACCTGGGGGCTTCCCACGTGATTGGGGTGCACATCCTTGCCTCTTGGCATACTGTGCTCTCAGGGAAGTCGCAGGCCTGCGCTAAGGCAGAGGAGCGGGGCAGTTTCTCTCCTCCTGCCCTGCACTCAGTGGTGGTAGTGGGGTCCCCAGGCAAACGATGGCGCTAGTGGTGCAGAGGGCGTAGACTGATGCCCAGTGCAGTGGGAGTGGGAGTTCTGAGTCCAGACGTGTCCCTGGCTTTGTGTCAGCCTCAGCCACACCTTACCCTACACCTGTGTTTTGCAGTATTTCCATCATTCACCAAAATGCCCTATGACATCGCCATCCGCACTGGCACCATGGCCCGCCTCGAATGTGCTGCCACCGGCCACCCTAACCCACAGATAGCCTGGCAGAAGGATGGGGGCACAGACTTCCCTGCAGCTCGCGAGCGACGCATGCACGTCATGCCCGACGATGATGTGTTTTTCATCACCGATGTGAAAATAGATGACATGGGGGTTTACAGCTGTACTGCCCAGAACTTGGCCGGCTCCATTTCTGCTAACGCCACGCTCACTGTCCTAGGTTTGGCCACTGATAACTGTGTGTTTGTGTGTGTGTGTGTGAGAGAGAGAGAGAGAGAGAGAGAGAGAGAGACACACACAGGCAGACTGACAGACATGGAGAGAGGGAATGAATGGTGTGTGTGGGGAGGGAAGTTGCAGGTATTAGATCCTTCTCTTGGTTAAGCTTCTGTTGCCCGGTGGAGTGTGGGGACCCACTCACTGTACTGGCGGCTGCTTTTGAGTCTTGGCTTGCTAAAGTGTTTCTGGAACAAGTGGTTCCATTTGATTTTAAAGAAAATTGGCAGCTGTCAGTGATTCAGGAGTCTTTGTAAGACTCAGGCCTGCGACATCTAAATATGCCTTGCCTGCTACATCAGGCAGGCTGGGTGTGCCCTTGGTTAAGAACAAGTCCACAGCGCTGTCTTGGGAGTCCACTGTCTGTGATGGGGGCCCCAAGGATGGGTCTCCCGTGGTAACAGCATGTTCTCATTTCCTGCAGAGACTCCATCCTTGGCAGTGCCCTTGGAAGACCGTGTGGTATCTGTGGGAGAAACCGTGGCCTTCCAGTGTAAAGCCACCGGGAGTCCCCCGCCCCGCATCACCTGGCTCAAGGGAGACCAGCCGCTGAGCCTGACCGAGCGCCACCACTTCACCCCGGGCAACCAGCTGCTAGTTGTGCAGAACGTGGTGGCTGAGGATGCAGGCCGCTACACCTGCGAGATGTCCAATGCGCTGGGCACGGAGCGCGCCCACAGCCAGCTGAGCATCCTGCCCACCCCTGGCTGCAGGAAAGACGGGACCACCGTGGGCATCTTCACCATCGCGGTGGTGTGCAGCATTGTGCTGACGTCACTGGTCTGGGTGTGCATCATCTACCAGACGAGGAAGAAGAGCGAGGAGTACAGCGTCACCAACACAGGTCTGTGGGAGGAGCGAGCGGGGATGTTGCTACAGCACAGAACGTGGCAGTGTTACCAGGGCTCTGGAGAACTCCAGGCCATCATTCCAGGAAGCTGAGCACACCCTCCACACTGCACGCTGAGCTCTGCAGCCTGCTGCTTCCAGAAGGGCCCTTGTGTGTCCTGTCCACACAGCCTTGACAGGGAGGATGCATTTCAGACCCAGATGGTGAATACGTGCGTGCGTTTCTTGCCACATTCCCCTCATGTTGCATTGTCCTGTTTCCCTGCAGATGAAACCATCGTGCCACCAGATGTCCCAAGCTACCTCTCTTCTCAGGGGACCCTTTCAGACCGGCAGGAAACTCTGGTCAGAACCGAGGGTGGCCACCAGGCCAACGGACACATCGAAAGCAATGGTGAGGCCATGTCCCCAGAGTTCCCTGTGGCTCCTGGCCCAGGCCAGTCCAGGAGGCTGCGTGACCCAAGGCTTCTTTGTTGTCTTTTGGCCCTCATCTTTGTAAGGCCTGCAGAGCTTTACGGTCCTGTCACTTGGGAAGTCACTGCATTTGGTGTAGTGTCTTCCAGGCAGAAGAAGGGAGGGTTGCCTCACCTAACGGTGCCAGGTCAAGAGGCCAACTCCCTGTGTGTGCAGGCTCAGCCAAGTACAAGTAGTGAAGTCCAACATGAAGTGTCTTCAGTGCCCGAATGGTACACTGTCAAAGCTGTTTGGCATTCACACTGTACTGGGTGCTGATGGAGGATGCACACAGATTACAGATAGGGTTTCTTACAGATAAAAGCTTGCCTAAGTGTGGGGGTATCCCTAGGAGCCCAGGGAACAGCTTCTGGGGATACTGAGGAACGAGCCTGGGGGGCAGCAGCCAGGAGCCCTCAGGACTCGGGCACGGAATGCCTGGGTACTTGTCTGGCGCTCCCAGGGTTGTTCCTTATGAGAAGGGCGGCTTGAAAAACATGCCATCCCCTCAGCTGTCACAGCAGTCTGCTCTTCCAGAAAGCACATTTGTGAAAGAGACGATGCTGGAGGCCCTGCCCGTTCCTTCTCACCTGGTGGGGATCTCTTGCAGGTGTTTGTCCGAGAGATCCAGGCCTCTTCCCTGAGGTGCATGGTCACGGCGTCGCGTGCAGGCAGCCCCAGCTCTGTGCTGTGTACAGTAAAGAACCGTGGAAGACGCTGGAGAAAGCAGATGGCCCTCCCGGCCTGCCTGCGAAGGGTATGTGGGGCTGCTGCTTGTGGAGATGAGCATGGGGTTGGGCTCCCTTCCTGGAGGAAGATGCCTCACTGCCCTCTGCCTGCCTCAGAACTGGGTGGTGTTCAGTGTGCACACAAGCAACTCTAACCTGGGTCTAGGTCAAGTGCAGAATGGTCTGTGCTGGTGTGGAAAGCCCGAACGGCACTTTCCTTAGCAGCAAGCATTGAATATTGTGAGTAGTTGAGAAGAGTGCGGCACCTGATTTAATGTTATCCTGCCGTCCATTCTGGGCACACCAGCAACCTCGTCATCTCAGTGCCGCTGTCCTGTCCTGTTTTTGACAGCATCCTTTGGGAGAGCAGGGTAGACGGCTGATGCCCCAGGCCGTGCTGTGGGGGTGGAGAGCAGCGGCCATGGTTCTCACCAGTCTTTGGCTCTGTCCTTCAGACCACGGCGGAACAGTCTTGTGCAGTGACTGCAGCTCTGCGGGGGACAGTTATTCCAAGGACCAGGCCTTGCAGTATCAGCCTGTGGCCAGGGATGCTACGCAGCCAAGTACATTGAGCAGCCCGGAGCCCAGCCAGAGTGACCGAGAACATTCTCCTCATCCTCCGGGTGGTGGGACTGCAGATGGATCCCACATCGACTGCAGGGGGTCCTTGTACCCCAGCAACCACGACAGAATGCCCACAACCACACAGCAGCCAGCAGCACCTCTGGGCGGGAAAGGTAACCTTTGTACTGCCAGCGGCCGCTAGCTGGGTACGGGGCAGCCGAGCGGCCGGAGGCTCTGACCTGCCTCTTCTCACCTGGAGGATCTTTCTGGGATGTCAGCCAGGTTGTGTGAAGCGGACGCCGCCGAGCACAGGCCGTGTGCAGCCCCCGGGAGCCAGCCCGGCACTTGATGGTTCCCTGCGGGCATGTCCCCCAGGCCTGTGACTCGAGGCCTTGCCACGCACAGGACAGCTCCCTGGGAAACACAGGGGGCCGAGAAGCTAGGCTTGGTCTACCTCAGCTCTGGCCATGGCAGGACTCCGGCAGAGGGAGGAGCCTGTGAGGAAGCGTGGCTGCAAGTGTCTGCGCTGTACAGAGGTGCAGCTTCCGCATGGAGGCTCCATGGCTGAACAGACTGCCAGAGGTAGCATGCGAGAGGCTACTTGTGTACAAATGGCAGAAAAAAGTATTTGATACCATTGTACATAAGAGTTTTCAGAGATTTCATATATATTATATCTTTTACAGAGGCTATTTTAACCTTTAGTGCATGGTTAACAAAAAAATTACACAGTTTTGACACTATTATTTTTCCTATCAGGTTGCTGTTTAATGTTGGAGAGGGTGAGGGACAAGTTTTGGTGCCTTAATGCGTGGCTGGAATTTAGCGGCTAAAACCACCTTTGTTCCAGGAGCGGGTGGGGCGGGAGGAGGGGAAGCTTGCGTTTGTGTTGCACGTGGCTGCTCGGCAGTCAGAGCTGTGGGGCGCTCACCTCGCGGACAGGCACTTTGGCTCTTCAGGTTTCCAGTTCGTTCTTGACGGAGCACAAGGACAGCGGCTGACCTGTCACGGGCAGCTGGTCAGACAGGGAAGTTCGTCCTAACAGATGCGCCCGGCAGGTGTTTTAGAGGCTGGCTCCCAGGCTGCTGGCGTTGGTTCCTGTGGATTTTCAGTTCTGCCAATAGAATGAAAAAGGAAACAGTTCTTACTTTTCAGGGCTTGCTATTTCTACTGAGGATCCAGAGCAGGCCTCTGCCCACGATTCCCTCAGCAGGTGGAACTGGGCTCCGACTGTACAAGATTTAGCCCTTGACCTCGGTTCTGGGTATATTTGCACTTTGGAGATCTGTTGCTAACCATCTTGTGAGTGCCAGTGTATTATAAATCAGTGAAAACTACATTGGAACAAGGTCCTTAACACTCAGAAAGCAAGTGCCTTTAGCTTCGATGCTAAAAGAGGGGACAAAATACTTATCTTACTGCCAGATGTCATCACTGTTTCAAAAGGTAAGCACATCGAGAACTGTAGTTAACAGCTACATAATAATGTTACTTCCACAAAATACGTGAATCTGCTGCTTCTGAGAGGCAATGTGAAAGAGGAAGTATTACTTTTATGTACAAAGTTATTTATTTATAGAAATTTTGGTACAATGTACATTGCAAAACATGTAAAATATTGAAGTGTCTAACAAATGGCATTGAAGTGTCTTTAATAAAGGTTCATTTATAAATGTTACGTATGTGGCAGGAGTCGTTTTTACATACGGGTATTTCTTACAAACTCAGCTATCATGCCATAAAGTATCCCTTTTTCCCCCAAAATGGGGAAAAAAACCCAGACACAGCTGCATTCCTGAAATTTAGCTGTGCGCCCCTCTCCACATGGAGCCTGTCTGGCAGGCTGTGCAACCCCAAAGCTGCATGAACATAGGGCTCAACGCTTGGGGAGCACAGTGTGAGCTGGCCTACCTTCCCTCCAGGATGGAGACCCCAGGCCCTTGGCAGCTGCTCACCTCCCGTCACTCACCGCTCGGCACCCTGGGTCCCTCCTCTATGATACAGTCGCATGCTTTTCTGGGTGAAATCTGAAGGTAATTCAGAGCAGCAGGCTTCCTGTCCAGCCACATGCCTGCCGCACACCTGTACTGCAACAAAGCTGGGCCCCTCCAGTGAGGGGAATTAACCCAAGGAAGAAACACATGGCAACTTTGGCCCCAAATCTACTTCTTTTTGCCAAGCTAGCCTTTTTGTTTAAATTAGAAGCATCTTGTCTTCTGCTGAATCCAGCCTGTGGTACCCAAAATGAAAAAGAGCAGATGGACGCTCAGAAGGGACTGGCCTTGGCACTACCCAGCTTGTTTATTAAAGGGGGCCAGAGGAAACTGTTCAAGGCAGCGCCACAGAGCCAGCTGCCTCTCTCGACTGCCTGCCAGGGAGCCTGCAGCCGATAGCTGCTCAGCACTGCAGGCTCAACAAAGGGGCCCTAGAACTGTGGAGGTCAGGTGGCCAAGCCACCGGCTACTCACCTGGCAGGCTCCCTTCTCAGGAGTGGCTCTTCTTCACGGGGTCTTCCTGCCAACTTCTCCCAGCAGGCTGCGCGTCTGGTCGTAAGTCCCCAGGAAGATGAAGCCGCCCAGGCTTATGGCTGTCATGCGAGGGAGGATGCCTGCAAATAACCTGGGAACAGAGAAGAGTTCAGGACATGTGTGTACAGAAAGGGCAACTTCTAACACCCACAGCTTGTGTAACTTAACTTCCTGTGCTCAGTATGCCCACACAAAGCACTGAAAATGTTTTTCTTTTTAGAAGGGCACTAAATTACATTCCTAAGGAGACTTGTTGATGTTTGAGACCAGCTGTTTGTTGGCTAAATGGCTACAGACCAAACAGCTCACTTGTTAACACTCTGAGTTAAGGACATACACACTCTGTCAAATAGTTGCCTTGGAAAATATGTAGGCTCTTCTCTGCTAAGAAACATGGTCTTCATAAAAAGGAGCCCGAGGGCTAAATCCTAGGCCAGGCCAGGCCCCGCCCCCCAAGGGCCCATGTGGTCCTGAGTGGGACGGGGATGGTTCATGGCCAACTCTGCGCTCCCACAATACAGCGCCCAGTCTCCATGGATTGCCTGTTCCTTTTCCTGGCCTGTTTAAGCACTGTAGGGTGACAGGGCCACCGGAGGGGAGGGAACAGCACTGACACCTAGGCTCAGCCCACCACAGAGTGTCACTGGGCACACGCTCACACTTGCAGACAGGATCCAAACCATGCATAGAGGCGTTCAGAGAAGTTCTCTGCTGCACTGCGGAGCCGAGACTACAAATGACACACGTCTGGTCGTCAGGAAGCAGTGGAAAGCTGGCGGGGCAAGATGGGGCAGCTGACAAGGATGAGGCCCCCAGAGACACCAATATGTTAGACTATACAAAGCAGCCATGACAACAAGGCCTCCAGCCCCATGTGCGCTATGACTACATGTCTGAAACAAACAGGCTGTCCCAAATAGGAGCATCCCAATGGTTTGCCCTTAGGAGGAGATATCCAGCCTTTAAATCACCCAGTGAAAACTACATGTGAAGTGTAAGAGCCACGGCAGGCACTTGCCCTGAGATGCCAGTTAGGTGATCCCCAGCCCATATCATGGTCTCCAGGGCAACACATCTTGCCACTTCTGGATCCCAGCTTCCTGCTGATGCAGCCCCTGCGAGAAACAGTGGGCTCATGTACCTGGGTCCTGCCACCCATGCAGCAGCCTCAGCTCCTGGCTGGCAGAGGCCCTGGCCCTTGCCTGCCTCCATCCCAGCCCAGGTCACTGCGTGCCTGTGCAGAGCGACCCCGCAGAGGGCAGAGTGCCCATGCCGCTCTTGTGCCCTCTGAGCACGTTTCCAATATACATCTCTCCTACAGAATGGAAAGCCTCTTTTTCCGATCTAAAAAGCAACCATCAAAAGTTCCATAATAATAAAAAATTGCTCAGCTCAGCGTCTTGCCGACTGCTCTTGTATGAAGAGGGTACTGAAGGCTAAAGTCAAACATGACTGCTTTGAGGCCCCTGCTTTGATCTGGTCTGAAAACCAGTTGGAGGTCCTTGCCCCTGTCCAACAGGAGCGTAAAAGGCAGGCAGCAGGAGCTGAGCTGAGCCACAAAACTCACCTGCCTGTAGGACCAGTCGCATTTCTAAAAGCCAAGGTTTCGCTGAGCTCTTGGGCAGGGCAGATGGAGGCCGTTATGGTTTCCCTAGATGACAACTGAATCCAAGCAGGTAATTACAGCCTCAGTCACTTGCAAAGTGAGCAAGCAAGTCCAAAGACAGACTTCTCAGTGGGGCAGGGCTGCGTCCCTGTGACTTCGGATCAACTGAGAATGTTCTAAGCACTAAGCATCGGGCTGAGCACTGAGTGGGACCTCGTGGCAGAGTCTGCAGAATCAAAGGCCAGTAGACTGTCACAAGGGCAGCAGGAGGAAGCAAGCCCAGACTGACACGGTTTCCATCTGCTCTGCAGCCACTCGGGCAAATGACCACATAGTGCTTGTATTGAGCAAAGTGCCCAGGAGCACCTATTTCTGGCCAGAACATGGATTGGGTAGAAAAGTGGTCACCCCTGGGATTTACCACGAGGGGCACGGTTGGGAGAAGGGACCAGCTGCAACACTTGCAGAGCAGTAAGCTCTGAGTGCTCAGCGAGCGGGGAGGCCACTCTGGCTTTGGGCCTAGAAGCCAAACAGGAGGCAGCCGAGGGTCAGGAGGGCTGGGACGCCTGGGACCACAGCTCAGAGCAGCTCCTCTCCACATGGGAGCAGGACTTCCTCTGGTTTTTCCATTACTGTCTTACTGTCAGACTGTTACCTTTTATCACATTAATGAGGGGGCTAATTAAAACTCATTGGATTTTAAGTGGCAGCCTTGGCTGCCTAGAATGCTTAGCCAGGCATTACATTGCACTCATCAAGTATAGCCCAAGACTTTCAGGAAACAAAAAAACGCTAATGCCCTGCTCAGGCGTAACAGCATGGAGCCAGCACTGAGAGGCCTCTAACCCTGATGCTAAGTGCTTTCAGGAGTCAAGGATGCACCACAACTGAGCTGGGAAGACTTGTTTTTAATCACAATAGATCCTTCCCTACAGGCCTTTGCAGGGTTAGCTATCTCAACAATGCTTTTTCCAGAGAGGCAGACACGCCAAGACCCTATCCCGCCCTGTCAGGCTGAGCCAACCACAGAGCTTTGACAAATAGCTGCCACACAGCCTACCACGACTGGAAGATAAGGCTGACACGTGGCAGTTTGACTTTATGATCTAAAAAGCTGCCACTGCCACCAGCTGTACATGGCCCAGGCATCACAGGAAACACGCATCGACCTTGAACCTGCCACTCAAGTTCTTCCAAGCCCCTTGTTCTCTGGTCAGTGTGGGTCTGGAGGCAGAACGTGCCAGCTCGGACTCCTCTCAAGGCATGGGCCATCCATCAGGGCAGGGCCTGCCAGCTACTAGCCTGCCCTTCCCTTGCCCTTGCTCGACTCCACTGGCCAGCTCTGCAAGACCCGGTCCTGGCCTCAGAACTGTGCTGCTCCTCAGGCAAGCAGCAGGAGCCAGCAGAGCTGTGCCACATGAGCCATTCTTGTCCCTCCCTTCACGGAGAATTCTTACAGAAAGCTCGAGCTATTCTCCTGTCAGAACCACGCCTGGGCCCTCTGCTACCTGCCACGTGTTCCCTGGAACAACAAACAGCTGAATTAAAATCACTGTGTGCATGAAGAGCCTCGAGAACGGCTCGCTCTACCCTGGGAGCAGGAGCTGGTGCTGCCCCGCTGGCCTCCGGAGCACTGTGGCAGCTACCGCTGGCTCTCACACACAGCTCTCTGCTCAGTGCTCCCAGAGGCAGCTCTGCTAAAGCAATGGAGGAATAACTGACAGTGTTTTCAGGCCTAGAAGCTACAAGTTGGTGACACTTGATTAACACCACTAAATAATACTTCTCAAATGACCTGCAGCCGAGGAGCCCCGTGCCCCAGCACGCTGTAAGCTGTTACTAACACAAGTATCAAACCGGCAAGGCCTTCTTCGACCAGTGCCATCTTCACTTACTGGCATTGCTGTACTATGTAACCCAGGTCTTGCTTGTCAGTGCTGCAGCCTAGATATGTGACTGCCTTCCAACTTCAGGATGGCCCAGGATGCTGATGGCTGGCCCAGAACACTCCATCTGGCTGAGCCCCACCCTCTCATACATGCAACTGCAAATGTAACACTGCAGACAGCACAGAGACTGGATGAGAACATATGCACAGGAAAGCAGCAGACATGCTCATCCGGTGTCAGGCCCAGGAGGAAGAGGCAGGCAGGCACAAGAGGACAGACGGGTGAACATTTCCATGGCTTCTTACCCTGCCACGCCCTGGGACCGCCAGACACCGTGCAGGGCAGAGAGCACATTCCCAGTGGCCATGCTGGAGCCAGCCTGCAGAAGGAGACAGCAAAGGGGCAGCTGTTACCTTGCCAAACTCCCCATGAGCAAGCCGGGTCCCCAGCACCCCCGCCTGGGACATGGTTCCAGGTGGACTTTGGGGCACCTTGAGACTCGATCGTGTCTCGCTTGCCCAGCAGAGTTCGCCTTCAGATGTGTGGCTAGCAGAGACCTGGCCCCCGGCTCCCGGAGAAGCTGCTTGACGGAACTCAGCTGCGTCTAACTACTACCCAGGCCAAAGGCTGCAAGTAGCATGGGACGCCCTGAGGATGAAGAGAGCCATCTACATAGAGGGGACACTAGGACGCTCGCCTCGGTAATGAACACTGAAGAAAGAGCCATGTGCAATTTGAAATGGCTGACGCTCTTCCGTCTACTACCCTGCGCACGGGAATTCTGCCCGGACTCCGCCCTTTCTCTGGTTCAGTCCAGAGAGTTATGTGTATGGCATTCTTTGAACTTTCCAGCTTTTCAACTATTTTTCTTTATGATCATTAATAAAATGTATCTCTTCTGGCATCTGTTTTTGGATGTCTTGCAGATGGCATGAAGCTCATCAAACTCTGATCCTCAGAGCTCTTACCTCCACCCCCCCAAACTACAACAAAATACTCTGAATATTATCACAAGGCAGAGGCCCCCGCTGCCCTGTGTGCACACGGAAGCTAGGTGAAAGTGGACTGAGAGAGGCCAGATGCCAAAGTTGTGGGCATGGCATGAGAGGGGCACTGTTCTGTCAGTGTCAGTTGTATTAATGGCTCGGTAGGAGGCACAAGGTGCTGTCCCAGCCAGGGGCTCCGACACTGTAGCTCCTAGAGCATCCTCAAGTCCCAATGCAACACACAAACTGTCCACTGCGCCCACATGCCATGGCGTTACCCCTTACCTTTGCCAACATGATCCGTGTCTTTGCCACATCCAGGGGTGTGGTGACTGCGGCTGCGCACGCACCTGTGTATGGAGACCCAACAGTCAAGTGAGAGCCTGTTCACTGGATGCTAACATTTTATTTTCATTTGTAACTCCTAAGTGGCCCAATCACTTCTTTACATCTACCTGCCTGATCCAGGAACTGCTTGCTTGATGCACTCTGCCCCTCGCTGCATCTCTGACAATGAAGGAGAGCTCCAAATGTAAGAGGTGCAGTGTAACCTTGACCCTCTCAGGGAGAAACACGAGGCCCTATCATCTATCTGGCTTTTCCATGGACTGGCTTTTATGGGACACGCCTGTGGGTGGCACCCAGCCCCAGAGTCCTCAGCCAGTCCCTGCCATTCTGGGGATCACTGTGCTTTCCCTGCAAGAGGACTGCAACACTTCTGCTCTGTGCATAGCTGACTGCATGGAGTCCCGAGCACCACAGGGTGTGTGTGAGAAAGGGCTGGGTTCTCCCGGTTACCCCAGGAAAACTGCCCAGAGGTCACAGGCTCCTTTTGATGGGACAGTTCGCGTTATTCTCACTTTTGAGCTATCTTCCACGGGCCTTCTCCGCGCCTCCCTCCTTCCTCACGTTCCCTTTACTTCTCTGTATCTACATGCCGTCATTGCCAACTGTCCTTTAAAAATAGGGTTGATAACTACGGAAAAAATTGAAAGACCTTTTTTGTTCATGTAAACCACAGCGTGTGGCGTCCATGTTTTATGTAACACAGCACAAAGCTACCTTTTCAACCCCAAGGCCATCCAGGCTCCGGGGGCTGAGTGGAGCCCGGAGAGCGCGCAGGCTGCCCTCCCTCCGAGGGCCGGGCACGGACAAGTGACTGCTGGCTTTCTCAAAGGCGCACCTCACCCACTTCCCGTGTGCCAGTTCTAGTTTCCCCTGAAGTTCACCTTGGACCGAGCCATGTGTATTAACATGTGTATTAGAATCACCTTGTTTTAACCAATTTTGGAGTATAAATTTATAAAACAGCAAACACTTTGTTCTAACTTCAAATCTTACCTGAGATTACCTGCTAAATTTTTAAAATTTCATGGCCCTGGCCCTGAAAACCTACTCTTCTAACTTTTATAGACTAAATAATGTGCCCTACAAGAGTAAGTATCATTTCAGTTATAGGAAAGGACCCAGGAAAGGTTCACATCCATCTTTAAAAAGAATCCTTGGAAAGAAAAAAGCAACAACCTAGTAATATCTCAAGCGTCCTACTCTAAACATCAGGTATTTGGTTTTGTTTACTCTACTGGCAGCAGATCCAACAGGGTCTGGCCAGAAAGAACAAAGCTGCTCCGGCTGGCCAGCCTCAGGTAGAATCCTCCCTCTCCTGTGAATGGATCTCATCAGACAGATCCTCATTCCCACATGCCCCGGGACAGCAAGCCTGCAGGTGCACAAACCGCTCCTTCCCGAGCGGCAGCTTAGCACAGGACTGCAGACCGACACTAAGCCCCAGGCCGGGGCTCCTGACCACTGGTTTTCTAGTGACCTCAGCTTTCTCACATACACAAAGACGACAGATCCAGAGTACAGGCAGTGGGGGAGTCCATGCCAAATGTCTCAAATTCCACTGGGTTCACAGCACTGCGCAGAGTAAGCAGTTCTGCTCTCGACAGGGAGAACTCGTGACTGACTCTCCTTCATCTCTAACCAGGACACCCAGTGGGCATTCGAAGCTGCTTACCGAGCACCCTGGACAGGTGTCTGTAGTACTTGCAAAGTAAAAATTTCAACATCTTCTAGGAAGGAGGGGCTGAAGCTGGCATCTGTGGGTGCTTCCTTCAGTGACTGTTTTCTCTAGAATTAACGTTTGCTGTCTTACTGATTAACTTATGCCCAGGCCACATGGTCAGAATGGAGCCCAGTTCTGCATGTTTGGACTTTCCACTCTGTGATGACTCTGACGTAGCTTCGAAGAAAGGCAAATTCACATCTATCTGGTTGTTAACACTGGATCACCTGCTTGAAAATGCGTGTAAACTACGTCCACAAATTCAACAGACCTAATGGTTGATAGAGGACATCTAATACATTTGAAAACTAATCAAAGTCCTCTCGACCATGAGTAAAAGTTTACCTTTGAGTGTCTGCCACTATTCTCTTACAGATTTAGGTTTCATGAAAGTACCAGCAAAAAAGGCTAAGGACAGAAGCACATATGCTTAAACAGGCCCCTAATTTTACTAGCCATGACGGAAACTATGTTTTATGTAAGTTACTAACTAATAAGTCAACCTGAGTCTCTTCAAACACAAGGATTTCTTGAGTTCAGAGACCATGCAATGCTCTCCATAAGGCTGTAGGAAGGGGGCCAGGCTTTGGCACAGCAGGCTGAGCCACACTGTGCAACACAAACATCCCTTATGAGCCTCAGTGAGTCTTGGCTATTGCTCTGCTGCCAATCCGCCCCGACAACGCCCCTGGGGAAGTAGCTGATGAGGGCCCTGGCACCCATGTGGGAGACCTGGGTAGAGCTCCAGGTTCTGTGCTTTCACCTGGCCTGTGCCATACAGCCACTCAGGAAGTGAACAAGCCCTCTACTCTCAAATCAATCAGTCCATCTTTTTTTTTTTTTTAATGGCTCCAAGAAGGGTTTGTGAAGATGAGGAACTAGAGTAACTTGTCAGCCCTGGACTTGCAGTTACAATGCGCTTATTTTCCACATTTGCCCTCAGGGAGCTGTAAGCTACTGGTCATAAATACAAAGAACACACTAACATGGGAGACAGGAAATGACTCGGTGTAGCAACTACGGGTGGCGGGCTGCCGAAGGTCTCCACTGACTGTCAGGCCAGCTGCTTTCCAGGCCCACAATCTGGGAGACCAGACTACACCTCCCACTTCCTGGGGCAACAAGGGCTCAGCTCTGGAGCGCCAATGCAGTGCCGCCCGCCGTGCCTGTTCCTCCGGACTCCAGGATCCCAAGCAGTGCTAGAGGAATGGGGGACACCTTGGCACCCCTCTTGCACGCAGGCGGCACAGAGGCACCCCAGAAGCAGCCACACTTCCTGACAGGAATGCCACTGCCCAGTGTATTCTTAACGCCAAGCTGGGCTTTTTCATTTGCACCCTAAATAATCCTTCACCCTATTTCAGACTTTCGAGCCCCGGGGGAGGGTGAAGTTACTCCCCTCCTGTTCTTCTTTCCTACAGACTTTAACAAGGCACTTATTAACTGGCACTGTTAAAACAGAAGTGTCATGATAGTAGCGGAAGTGCTAACTATGCAGACTCCGCTAAGGTTTTCAGGGTTTAAGTCTGGAAATTAACCTGAATTGAGGAAGTTGGCAAAGTCCTTTTCCCCAGGTTTAACCCCTGACCAGAAGCCAAGAGCATTTCTAAGCATGACCAGCCATCAACACCTCCCATCTCCAGAGACACTCTGGAGATCTGTGCCAAGGTGCTGATGACACAGGCACAGGGAAGGAAGTGTCCTTTGGAGGGCCTGGAGAAGCGCCCTGGGGTGACGATGTGGCCAACGCACCCTTGGAACCGCACATGGGCATGAGAACTCTGGGTGCTGCCTTAGGGGTGAGCTTTCTCAGCACCTTGGCCCAAGCAGAGGGCAGCAGGGGAGCGAGGAGGGGGCTGCACATGATGCAAGGCGTGCTCGTGACTCTGTGCGTGTCACACACGGTGCTGCGAGCAACTCTGAGAGTAACACTGCTTTTTCACCATCTGGAGCATTTTCAAATGATGTTTATCCTTCAGAAATGTTTTAAAACAGGAACCTTTTTCTTCAGGATCAACATTTGTAACACATGAAACTACAAAAAAGGGACAGAAACCATGTATCTGTCACTTGCCAAAAATATATAGTTTCTACTGACCACCTATTTTTTGCAGACATTGGGCAAACACTTTCACTAACAAGTGAAGCTCAGCTGAAAAAAAAAAGAGAACTATAATGGAGACTTCTTCTATCTATAGCCTATTAGAGCAGACCATTGTGCCCAGTAACTTCATTACTCTGAGTCTTTCAGAACACATGAGAATATGAGTGAGTTGTCCTAAGAGCTTTCCTTCCTGGGTATGGGTGGTTCAAGGTGTCCGGGTGTACAGGTGGCTGAGCACTGGCCCTGTCACAGCAATGGCTGACACCATACCACAGGACCCCATTGTGCACAAGGTCTTGTCTCCTTCCTCCCTAGAGAGCACATGAGACTTGCCAATCTTGTCACGCACCTAGCCCGCACTTAGAAGTGTGGCTTTAGACACTTCCCCTCCCTCCCAAGTCCCAGCAGCCTAGACTGCGCTGCGGAAAGGTCTGGATGATGGCTCCCTGCCAGAATGCACCTGCCTGGCAGAAATTTTCCTTCTTGCACTCCTGACAAATCTAAGCGCACAGTGCCTATGACAAACTACTATTTAAAAGTATACCTTCAGATCCAATATTTAAGGAATGGGACCACAGAATATACACTTCTTTTCTTAGCATATGGTCAATTTCTGAGTACTATTAACTTTTAAGGCACAGCGTTTATCCAGAATGATTACATTTCCAAAATGTGCACTTGAACCCCAAGGCCCAAGAGGGAGTCAATGTGAGGGCGGCCTGCTCCAAGGGCCTGCGGAGTAAGGATTTCTGATTTCTGGGAAATTAATCAGGACCACCTGTGCCTTAACCACAGAGAACAATTACATGGCTACATGTTGGGTGGAAACAATTATCGATCCTCACCAGCCTGGGTAGTTGGACGTCCAGGGGTAAGATTTTTACTTTTCTTTATCAGTTCTTTAAATCAGAGAGGTTTGTATAATGAAGAATGTGTGTTTTCTATTTTCCCAAACACTGCAACCAAAAGCCCCAGCCCAACAACCATTAAACAAATTTGAAAAGAACTGTTTTCTATGTAAGTTTATGACCTAAAGCCACCCTTCTGTCATTTGGAGCTTCCCGTGTCAGTTAAGAGCTTGAAATTACACGGCAAACTTCCACTTTGTTTCCACTGCAATTCCAATTTACCTTTAACTCTAATAACAAAACCTCCTCCTCCCTTAGGGCTTCAAAGGGTATCACTTTCTAAATTCTTTAATGAATCTGAGTTCTCACCGGGAAATTCCTGAGACTCAGCGATGGATAACACAATGTTGCCTATTGTCACTGTGCTTGGGCTGTGATGTCTCCAAAATGCCCAGATGTTTAGGCTGTCCTGCCCTGTCTTCTACCCCGCACAGCCCAGCCTGCAGAAGGTTGTGGAGTAGCCTGTGCTCTCCTGACACCAGTTAATCAGTGGTGCTGTCAGATCCGTCACAGGAGCGGTGAATTATGGCTTTCTGCACAACCCGCTTCCAGCCCCAGGCGCTCCTCAAGGCAGACAGCTGCACGGCCGCCCTGCCCCACAGAGGCCCTCATCAGTCATCTTGAAGATAATCCATGGGCCTGAGTGAAGGCTTTAAGAAAGATAAAAAGAAAGAGGAAAATTTGTCAAAAACAAATTGGCTGTCTTTCAGGCAGACACCTTCTCAGCAGCTTTTTTTCCCCTGCAACACTTTCCCAAACAGCTAGTGAAGCTCTCTTCATCTAAACAATCTGGAATTTCTAAAGAATGTTGTTTTTGCCTCGTTATTATTTTCACATTTCCTCCCCCCTCTCCAGGCCTTTCCCAGCATCATATAATCCTCTGCACCTGCAAAAGCTCCACACACTGCTGACTGCCAAGAATCCACCACACGATCCTGCCGCCAGGACCAGAGGGCCTGTGTGTAAGCAGAAAGAAAAATACAAGTTATTAAATATTTGCATTTGTCGGAACCTCCTGTGGGTTAGCTCTGGGGATGGGAACTTAAGTGAGAAGCTATTTTGGTGGCATTCTTTACTTATGACATAAGTGGTTTTCCCAAGGCCCTAACTACATTCTAAAATAAGTCGCAGGAACAAGGGTGACACTCCATCTGAGTGCTCTCTGGCAACATGCTGACGCACTGGTATGTATGCATCATACATGCATAGATCAAAATAAAAACAAAGCCACGGGACAACAAACTCTTTCAGATATCTTCGCATATAATTCTAAACAAAGAGATACCACTTTTGACAAATTAGTCCAGAACAGGGTAAGCCAGATTCCTCAGCTCCTTTCACAACCCTTATTCATACTGCACATGTTTGAGGGATGCTACCTCCTATGCAACGTTTAAAGATCTGTCAATACTGTTCCTGTACTGTCATGGCTTGAGGGTTACATAAGCACACATACCAAGTTTCACACAGGACAGAATAATGGCTAAGCCACAGTGCCTTGTTCACAAGAGTTTCTGAACAGTAGGAGACACAACAAAGCTCCAGGAAGCAGTGAGGAATCTGAGTCCAGCAGTGGAATGATCTCTGACCATCTGTTCTCCACCTCCCAACTCCGAGGGGCGAGCCCTGCAATCCAGACTTTGCAGCAGAGCCAGCACAGAATTTTTCCTTACCTCTATTGAGGTGTGATTAATATCCCATAAACTTCACATCCTAAAGTATGTAATTTGGTAGGCTGTCACATGCACACAAAATGGACACTAACAATACGGTGAACTTATCCATGACCCCAAAAGGTTATTTTGTATCCAAGGGAACCTCTCTTTACTGTCCTACCATGTCACCGCTCAAGCAGTACAATCTTCCCATCACCCTGGACTACTTTCTCCAGAATCTCAGATAAATGTAGCCATATGCTAATTTTCTAAACCTAGCATCTTCTATTCAGCATCATTTTGTTTCATTCCTGTTACTGCAGGTATCAACAGTATATTCTCTATTTTTTTCTTTTTTTGATGATAACACATTATATGGATTCATCATAGTTTACACATTGTCGTGTTGACATTTTCCAGTGCTGTTTCTTACACATAAGGCCACTATAAACATGTATCTACATATGTATGAATGCGGACACAGACATTCACTTCCCTTGGGGAAAAATCTAGCAGTGAACTAGCTGGACCACAACATGGGCATGTTTAATTTAAGAACTGCCAACCTGCCTTGCACAGTACCTACACCAAATCACATGTCCAGCAGGCTCAGTTCTCTACTTGGTACCACCTGCAAGTTTACGGTAATCATTCCGAATAATGTCAAATAGTTCACTACGGTTTTAGTTGGCATTTCCACAGTGGCTAGTGAATGTACTTCTCATCCATCTTTCTTTTCTGGTAACTGTCCACTCAGGTGCTTTTGCATGCTTTGACTGGGTTATCTGTTCCATAACTTACTAAGTTCTGAGTCTCCGTTACACATTCCGAACTCAAGTCATTTTGTAAATACATTCTCCTAGCCTGGGGCTTATCTTTTTGTTCTCTGAAAACTTCAAACAATGCATGATTGACAAGGTCCACATTTTCCTTGCATGGGTCTTGCTTCTAAGGCCCATTTAAGACACCTTTGCCAAAGCTAAAGTTATGAAAACTATTCTAAATTTTCTGCTAGAAATGTTCTGCTTTGAGGTTCCACATTTATATCTAACCCCTCATTTTGGGCTGATATTTCATGGGGTATGGTACCAACGAATCATATGTTTGGACACATGAATTTCCAGGTGCAACTGGGAATGACGGTCCTTGATCCTGTAACTGCTTTCTCACGTTTTTTTTTTTTTGAAGATTTATTTATTTTTATTGCAAAGGCAAATACACAGAAAGGAGAGACAGAGAGCAAGATCTTTTGTCCGATGATTCACTCCTCAAGTGACCGCAATGGCCAGTGCTATCCCGATCTGAAGCCAGGAGCCAGAAGCCTCTGGGTCTCCCATGCGGGTGCACAGTCCCAAGGCTTTAGGCCGTCCTTGATTGCTTTCCCAGTCCACAAGCTGGGAGCTGGATGGGAAGCAGGGCTGCTGGGATTAGAACCGGCTCCCATATGGGATCCCAGCACTTTCAAGGAGAGGACTTTAGCTGCTAGGTCACCACACTGGGCCCTGCCTTCTCATTTTTAACAAAAATCAGTTGTCCCTATGGGGATGGGAATATCTCCAGACTTTTCTATTTTAACCTATGTATAATATCTTGATATCAATTTCATTTTCTTGATAATAGCTTTATCATATACCTTATAATCAGGCAGTATTAATTTCCCAAATTTGTTCTTCTTCATGTAGTTTTGACCATGCTAGGTTTTTAAATATACATTTTACATATATTTTTAAGAATAAGATTTTATTTCTTCAAAATAATTGGTATTTTGATTACAACTGCAATAAAATTATTGAGATTTTGGGGGAGAATGGAGATAATCTTAATATATAAAAAGTAATTATTTGACTCAGAATTATTTCTCTTTGCTTAGGCCTCCTTTAATGTCACTCAGTACAGTACTGGTTTTCAGTTTTCAGAATACAGACCTTGTTTTTGGTATTATCAAATACCTGTCTATGGGTTTTATATGTTTTAAGAGCACTGTAAATTGTTAATGACACTGGGTTTTTGTTTTAAGCATGCTTAGTATTTTTCATCAAAGGCATAGCCACACAAAGAAAAAGAGATAAAGAAAGAAATATTCCATCTGGTATTTGCCAGACATCTGCAGCAGCCAGGACTGGGCACCAGTGTCAAGCCAGGAGTCCAAAATTCCACCCAGGTCTCCCACATGGATAGCAGGGTACCAAGTACTTGATCAACCGTCTGCTGTCTCCAAGGAAGCTCTGGCAATAACAAAAGTGGAGGAACTGAGACTCACACCACCACCCCAAGCTGAGATACGGGTGTCAGAATTGGTCCTCTACCTGGTGTGCCACAGCATGCACTTGTACTGTTTCTTCTTTGTATTTGCTTCTCTGCTTGCTCACTGTGGTAGACAGAAACTGATTATCAACACAACTGAGCTGAATAACCTTGTAACATGCAACTGTGCTAAACCCAACTGGTAAGACTAGCTAACTGCAGTAGCACTTTTGTAGAGTAGCTTCTACACAGAGGACTGTACCAAGTGCACAAAATGACCATTCTTCCTTTTTTGATTAGGATCCCTTTTCTTATTGCATGCATGGCACTTATGGCCACAAATGTTACTGAAAAAGATGCCATGAATATATTAATTTAATGGCTAGGCTACTATAATGACCTTCTGAGACACATTTACAAAGACTCAAATATACCACAGTGAAGGGAGAACAGTGAACTTGGCACTAGTTTTGTACACTTGGTACCTTCTCAGAAGATCAAGGGGTGGCTATAAAACTGAGTAAGATAAATGAATGAAGATATATACTGACCCTAGTTACACTGTTAACTTTAGCAACTTTTACTGCTAAAGATATACTTGCTTATTTGAAAGGCACAGTGAGGATTGGGTGGGGAAGAGAGCCAAAAGAGCTGTTATCTGCTAGCTTAGCCCAAAAATGGCCACAATAACAGAAGCTGTGCTGGTCCAAGTCAGGAGCCAGGACATTCTAGGTCTCCCACATGGCTATAGGGAATCAAGAACTTGGACCATCTTCTACTGTTTCCCAGGCACATTAACAGGAAGCTGGATCAAAAGTGGGGCAGCTGGGACTCAATCTGTCACCTATAGGAGACACTGGCAATGCAGACAGCAGCTCTACCCACCATGCCACAGTGCCAGCCTGTTTTTTTGTCATTGTTTGTTGAGATTTATTTATTTGAGAGGCTGGTATGGTAGCACTGCAAGGTAATCCTCTACCCTGTGGCAATGGTATCCCATATGAGCACTGGTTTGTTTCCCAGGTGCTCTACGTCTGGGAAAGCCGGGGAGGACAACCCAAGGCCTTGGGGTCCTGCAACTGGGTGGGAGACAGAAAAGAAGCTCCTGGCTTGAGATCAGCTCAGCTCTGGCTGTTGTGGCCATTTGAGGAGTGACCAGTAAACAGAAGACCCTCTCTCTCTCCCCTTCTCTGTCTATAAAACATGCCTAGCAAATAAGAATAAATCTTTTTCAAAGAGATTTATTTAATTGAAGGCAGAGTCAGAGACAAGGAAACAGAGAGAGAGGGTTCTTCTCTCCGCTAGGTCACTCCTCAAATGCCAAATGCAGGAGAGAGGCCAAGCCATATGCAGGAACTGGAAGCCTTTTCTGGGTCTCTCAAGTGGGTACAGGCACCCACAGACTCGGGCCATTTTCTACTGAGCTTCCAGGCACATTAGCAGGGAGTTGGATCAGAAGTGGAGCAGGTGGGAGCTTCAGCCACTATACTACAATGCCAGCCCCTTAACAGCTTTTCTTAAGCCAGACATGGAATGATGTAAGCCATCTAACAGACGAGATGTACAGCACTGTGGGTGTGTAAGCACTCCAGCACTACCCAAGTGTACTGCATTAAGAGTACAGCTATCAAATATTTTTATGACCTTCCTTGTGAAACAAGATAAGCTTGTTTAAAAGTTTTATTATAAATCAGTTTCCAAAGATAGTGTTTTCACTAAGCACAGTACTTGCTGTGTTTTTGTAAATGCTCTGAATGTTTGTTTGTAAATCTGTACATTTTGTACAAAGCATTTTCTCTGCAGTCTACTGAACACTGGAGACAGAATATGAAGCTTGACAGAATAAAAGCTATTCACATTTAAGGTGGAGTCACGCACACTGCTACCGAGCTAATGCCAATGTCAATGCCATTACTACTTCACCAACCTATTAGAAAAGGAAATTAATCACATGAAACCTTCGTGGATTAGTCCAAGTTATCCTAGTCAAAGGCTCCAAAGAGCACAATTACTCCAGGCCCAGAGAGGACTGCTAGTGATGATGCACTCCCGGGCAA